CCTAAATGAATCTGGGCAGTTTAGAATTAAAACATGTCACAAGATATAAAAGCATAAATAAGAACAAAGTTAATAGAATTAAAAGATAGGCTAACGGTATTAAAAGTTAAAAAGCTAAAAAGGTAGAGATAACATCTTCATGACACCAACTAATTACATGTTCCATTATTCTCTCTCTAACTCTCTAACTGTAGTAGTCTGGCTTGAGTATATAGGTATATAGGCATCTAAATGGCAGCATTCATATAATACCCTTTTCTCTTCCACTCTTATTTACCATAACTCTTCCTACCCTCTTCTCTTCCACTCTTATTTACCATAACTGTTGTTAGCGTGACATGAGTCCCCTCGGGGAATAGGGCGGCATACAAGTTTAATAAAATCAAATCTAAATAATGCAACTTACAATTATCTCTAGCAATACCTCATTGGATTAAAAGTTCTATTTCAGAGTTTGAGTTCCAATTTTGCTCTGGAGATGAGCAGTGGTTAATACTGTTTATGGCTGGTTATCATGGGAGTGAAATGACTGCTAATATAATGGATCATCCTATGAGAGGAATAGAAAGTAATCCATAAGCTAGCCATATGTCAAACAGCCAAAACTGGGATTTGATTACGATAGATGGCTTGGATCAGAATATCCTCATTCACACAGAGTTAAGCAGCATGCCTTTAAGTCAGAATGAATTATCTTCTATATAGAGTTCAGCTCAGCATTTCCTTTGCAGAAAATACAAAAACTGATGTTCATAAAGATCTCTTGTTATTCACGAAACTCAGAGGCACTCTAACTTTGGAATCCAGTATGTACAAGACTCCACTTTGGATATGAAAACAGTACAGCTACTATGTGACGGTTGCGGGAGGTGGGAGTAGGAGGCACCGTTCTTCAGTGTCCTCTCGGACAGGTCGCAGTCGGTGTTGGTTGGGGGGCAGAGGTCGACCCCTAGGCCCCTAAATTATGGGGTACCACAGGGCTCAGTCCTGTCCCCTCTCCTATTTAATATCTATATGAAGCCGCTGGGTGAGATCATATGGCGGCACAGGATTAACTACCATCAATATGCGGACGATACACAATTGTATCTGTCCGCCCCGTGCCAACTCAGTGAAGCGG